TGTGTGTGTGTGTGTGTGTGTGTGTGTGTGTGTGTTTGTGTTTCTTTTATATTAAATATGAGTGAAAGGAAATGCCACTTTCTGTTTATTGCTTTAACTCATTTTTTGCACCAGTTTTTTTCTCATTTATTGATTCCTAATTTATGATGTCATCAGTGTTGATGAAAGTTTAACCACTTCAGATGGTTGTAATTTTTTTTCACGGTCTTCTAAGTCRTATTATTATTATTATTGTTGCTTGTCAATGAGCTTCACAAAAAAAACAAAAACATGATTTTTGGTGCTGCCCAGGTTTTTAGCATGTAGCCTTCATCTTTTCTTCTGAAGATACCTTCAAAGGCACAGAAGTGCATACCTTCATGGTAGACATTCACAGCTTTAAATAGGCATAAAACACGGTACATTCCTGTGACTCCACAAATAAGTCTCAACTTGTAGAATCATCCWTCAYTTCATCCTCTCTTCCTTAACTCTGTCAGTAAATACATTCAGATGTGGTACCTGTCATTGAAGCATATCAGTCTGAGGAGTGWATGCCCCAGATAAAAACCCTAGAACCCAGTGGAGAAGTTGCTCTACATGTTATTGCAAGTGTCAAGTAATGTGCAAGTGTGCACAATGTACTTGAAATACAATCATATTTGTAGCAAGTTTAATATTCTTAATGAGGGTTTCTGTTTAGTGTCTAAAAAAATAACATCAAAGCTGAATATTTGCAGTGTCTCCCAGAGTGACTCCCAGAGTGCAGTGAAGTCTCCCAGACTCATCATTTTAATTGACTGAAGAAAAAAAAAAAACAGCTTACTGAATGAAGCTTGACGAGGAGAACCCACAGGCCTTCAGCTCTCGTGCATTTGGATGATAATTTATTTTCTYTGTTCTCTGTGTCTGCATGTGGCACACACGTCCCATGAATAAATAGTGACTGTATTAGGAAGTGGACTCTGCTGTGCGTGTTCTGTAAAACAACTGAAATGGAATTTGGACAAAACATATTTTCAAATTGTTCTCAAATATTCAAGACTCTTGTTGTCACAGAATGTTATTAGATAAATACATACATTTACACTTACACAACAACTGTGGCAATCACTAGTTAAGTATTAACATTCTAACACAAAAATGCTGAAATATTTAAAAATACAATATAGTCCATTTGCATTACTGCAGCTCATGTCTCATCTACTAATAGACAGATATAAACCACATAATCTTATGGCCTTCTCTTTAACGCAGTCTGAATTTATCATATTTTTTACACATACATCATTCATTGTTTAGAAATACAGACAGGTTTTGCAATGACTGTTGTTTAAAAACAGAACTGGTGATATATGCACATCTCTTTTCAGATGTAATGAWACAAACAGCATATTCTGTCTCCTTGCATTGCAGTCCTCTACAGAATTTCAGATTACACAATAGGGAGGATCATTACAAACTGGAAGTGGCCTATTTGGGACAAAATGACATGATGACTCCAAGGTGGCTCTTTGGCTGTGAAAAAACAAAACCTTTTTTACCAGCTACCCAGTCTTAGTTTAGCACCATAATCACTCTTATAGAAAATCCCTACCAAGCTCCGGACTCCCAAGATACCAATTCCTTTTAGAATCAAGCCCGATCCTCAGAGACCACAACCTATAATCAGCAGGGTTCAAAACAATTTCCATGTTCCCATTACCAGATACAAGAACTGCTGAGATGTATTTTTTTTTCAGACAGAGACTGGTCCATTCCTTTGTTTACAGTGAAATAGAGACCTTTTTCTCATTTGGCAGGTAGTCATTAAGGTTTATGTAAATATCTATAGAAACTGACCAATGCAAAAAATGCAGTTTTTCATTCATTTAACCATAGAGCCCAATGTATTTAGTTTAATCATTAGATGACATTTATTATTGTCAATATCTATCAAAACCTTCAGGCAGCTTAAAAGAGAGCTTGTTTATTTTTTTTATTTTTTATTTTTATTTTACAGGTTTATTTCCTGACTTGATGCAACATTTTGTCTGTGTTCTTTTAGGTACATGGCCATTGTCCATCCTCTACAACCTCGCATGAAGTATCAAACTGCCTACTTCCTAATAACAGGAGTCTGGATTGTCCCCATTTTGATTTCAATCCCATCTGCCTACTTCGCATCCGAGACCACATACCCTCATGGCGGCACCACCCCGAGCACTCACAAAGTTTTTTGTGCCCAGATATGGCCCGTGGACCAGCAGGCCTTCTATCGGTCCTACTTCCTGTTTGTGTTTGCCGTGGAGTTTGTTGGGCCCGTAATTGTCATGGCAATGTGCTACGCCCGCATCTCCCGTGAGTTGTGGTTCAAGAGCGTCCCGGGTTTTCAGACAGAGCAGATACGGAAAAGGCTGCGTTGTCGCCGCAAGACGGTTTTGGTCCTTATTGCCATTTTGACGGCGTACATCCTGTGCTGGGCACCGTACTATGGCTTCACCATTCTGCGAGACTTTCATCCAACAATCATCTCCCGCCAGAAAAACTCATTGGTGGCTTTTTACATCATTGAGTGCATTGCCATGAGCAACAGCATGATTAATACCTTGTGTTTTGTCAGTGTCAAGAATAACACGGTTAAGTACCTGAAGAAGATTGTTCTGCTGCGCTGGAGGTCATCATATGTCCCGAGTAAAAATGTGGAYGACATTGATTTAAGGACCTCCTCCATGCCCATAACAGAGGAAATTGAATGCATTCACCTGAGGTGAGGACAAGAAGCTGTGGTAACATAATTGGTTAGGTTTTGACTGTTGATACAGTACAGTTTGTCCAGTTGATGACGATTTGTACCTGGAGTTTTTCCTCACATTCCAGAAAAAGCTCAGTTCTCATAATATATAAGGAAACCAAGGGATAGCTTTGGCTCAAGGAAAAAAAAAATAGATAATGTACGATCAGACATCCGTTTGTTAGAGAGTTTCAGTTCATCTTTGCTGTTCAGTTTTTGAAATGCAGAATCAACTCCACATTCCTCCCAGTTTGTTGATCAGTTTGTATATACTAAAAACATAAGTACTGTTTGTATAAAGGTTTGCACAAACAAGCACGTACTCTATGAGCATGCAAATTTTGTTTGCAGTACAAAACATGTTTAAGGGATCAAAACAAAAATAGACTGTGTTGTTGAATTTCAGTACTTGTGACAACTTAGTTGAACAGCCCTGACATAATGGCACGTCATCAACATTTTGACATTTGACACAACAGGATTTTGATCAGCCAGCACTGCAAACAAAAAAAAGTTTCTCATGGATATGTAATTGTTGTAACATTCACTCTGTGCTTAATATTGTAAAAAAAAAAAAGAGCATTGCAAAGTTTTGGTGTACCTTTTTAAACCAATTTGTGATTTCCTGTATGAACCCTGCATATTGCTCATGTCAGCTTTGTTAAAAGCTGCTTTAAACATGCTCCAATAGAGGGCAAACTTGTTTTCTTTGATTCCTCTGTGAATATCAAACAACTGAAAATAACTGGTTATTCGACAAAAATGCTTTCTGTACTTTTTGTGATTGTTTGTCCTTTGACAAAAAGAGTAAAAAACATGTTTTCTTTGTAGATCAGCATATGATTTGTGCTTCTGTGGTAATAAAAATGGCACACTGGAAACTCATTGAAATGTGCTTTTTAAATATTTTTCCCCACATGTTAAATTTGTCTGAAACATCAATGAGTTAGTGATAAATCCTTACACAAGTTCTACTTTTTTTCTAAATTTCAGTTGTTTTTTTTAAAGATTTTAACAAGCCTTGCTTGTTTTGTAGAAAGCAAATAGGATATTTATCGATTATTRGCACCGCAAAACACACGTTTACTTCTTCTTGAGAAGACAAACACTCAAAAATACGCTTCAAGTGTTGCTCCAAATGAGAAAAGGAAAAAGCAAATCCATAAATTTGGATTGCCTGGCTACCCATGAGTAATGGAAGTGTGTATTTTTACTTTCCCAGCAGATATATTGCAGCTGTAAAGCAGATGAGAGCAAGTCCTGATAAAACRTCAATTCTTGCCAAAAAAGTTGAGGAAACTGTCAACAGCAAATTTAAAGTTCCAGTATCCATGCCTCATGAAGTGACACATTCTGCACTTCAACATCTTATTGATGAAACTGTATTTTCCCGATGAGTTTTTCTTTTTTGTCTTCTTGATTTTAATTTAAAACACCAACATTGTGACTTCATTTTGCAGTCAGAAGACATTTGAGAATACAGTGAGATGTATATGATCTGCAATAAATATTGATGATTAAACTATAAGTTTACYAACTGACTGATATGTGTCTGTGAAAATAGCTTCACAAAGACAACTAAACTAAGTATAAAAAATAAGGAAATTTGTGTTTGGTAGATAGTTTCTTTGTTGTAACAATGCTTGTTGACAACAAATCTAAAGTGTCATGGCTGATGATGATTTTGGCACAATGTGCAGATTAACACCTTTGAAACAATACTTTTTCTGAAACAAATTTACTTTATTAATAAACCAAAAAAAATGTTGAGGAAGCTAAATTTACAGGGGTCAGAGCCAGGACTGACACTTGAGGTGTGCAATGCAGAAACAAGGGACAGACAAACCAACAGAGAATATAAAACAAACTATAATGAACACAAATGCCTGCAGAGACAACAAGGATAAGGTGCAGGTGGATGTGGCAGAACAGAACTGAACTGGAGAAGAGACTAATCAGAAACACATGCAACAGAACCAAAATAGAGTAAATACTAAAATAAAACAAAGAAAAAACATTTCACCTAATTTGCTTTTTAAATATTTTATGACATTTTTTTTCTAATTAGGTCTGAGAGTGTAAAGACAGTTTGTAAATACATCATTATTTGCTATTGTTGCTGTGGATAACACCCTGTGTGGTTCTTAAAATATCTCAGTATGTTTCTTACACATAAACACAATCATACAGCAAGTTGAACATTTAAGTGGCCATTTGATGACAAAAAAAAAAAAGAAGAAAAAAAAACCGCCTCATTTTCTATACATTTTTGACATTTTCTGTTAGGTTTTGTTTACATTGTGACCCGTGTGGGTGAGGTTCATTTATGAGAACAGAAGTACACAGTATCTCTCAGTGCTTTTTAACTATCCCCTACCTCAGCGAACAGACCCACATTACACATGCAGTAAAATCTTTCCTTACATGGTCGAGCAGTTTTATTGCCATCACATGCACATCCAGCACCACGATTCTGTCCAGGATTCTACTTTTGACATTAACAAGACATAGCTGCTGCTCTTTGTTCTCTTCTTAGCTAAAGTTTCCTAGATAATGCTGGAACAAACTGTTTATCCATTTGTAGTAACTCACAGTCTTTTTTTCCTTAAATGGTCATTTACCTTTTTTTATAGAACAATTTATTCCGTTGATGGTTGCTGTGTATTTCTGTCACCACAATCCCCAGTTTCCGCTTCACAATCATGGACACTAACTATTATTATATAGCTGTACTTTGTCCAGCCTGATGTGTAAATTAGATTTTTAGAGCTGAGACATGTTGAAGGTGGTCGAAAAAGAATTGGCCTCAAAGTTTGAGTCATGGTCATGCACTTATCAGGAATAGCTCTGACTTTACCTCAGATGGCAGGATGTCAAATAAGAGACTTTCATTCAATAACAGCTATTCTCTGTTCCTGTCGTCAGCTCCAACCTTCTGTTACCACCTGTGGCAATAACTCCGCTGCCACCCTTCTTCCTTACATCTAATTTATATCCCATTTCTTTTTCTTTAACTGTGTGGTTTGACTTCCACACTGACACTCACAATTTATTTTGTTTTGTTCCTTATTGATCCCTGGGAATAAAATAAAACATAGGTTGTTTTTTTTTCTTTCTTCCTTTCTGGCCTTTATTTCTGCAATCAAGACTTTGATCTCAGTCTTCAAAGTTTATCTTATCTGCAAAAATAGTAATAGCGTGGTTTTCTAAAAAAATACATAAAACTTTGACAATTGTTCCTCTGTGCCACACAACAGATCAAAAGCGGGACTAATTAAATAATGGTGTCTACTTTATGTTGAAAAACAAACAGGCTTCACTGGTTTTTATTTTCATCTTCAAAATGGCAAAAACATATATATAAACAATACCAACACAAGTATTTTAAACTGTCTTCAGCTAATATTTTAAAGAATAGCAGAAAGTTGTCATTAGCTGCGTTTCCATTACAAATGTGCGCAAAACGTTGTCGATATTCCGTTAATGTCGAAAAACATAGTTTCGCAATTGCTGTGTTTCCATTAAGAAATGCTATTAAAGTCACGCGTGAATATGTTTGTTCTCGCGATAAGTCATTACAAACATGGCGGCAATGGATGTAAACACATAGCATGTTGCTACCACGACCCTAGCGCTCATCATCAGCCATCAAAGATGTTGGCATCTTTTATCAAGGCTTTCGAGTGGCAAGCCCCTTATACTTGGGAGCGGCTACGTATGCTTTGTTTTTGGGAAATTGTAGTCGGTGAGATTTATACTTTATTTTACTACTCCGGTGATTTCACTACTACTTTTACTTCCCGTTATCTTCTTCTTCATCATCTTTTTCGCCAGTAGAAACAGCCGGTTCTTGATCATGACTCCCGTGATGCGAAAAAAGTGTTTCCATTGCAGTTTTGCAAAATACACCAATTTCGATACAGCCGAAAAACCACCTCATCCTAGTGTAAAACCATTTGTTCAAAAAATGTATTTGTTTTCGAAATTGACGTGTTTCTATTGAGCAAATTTTTTTTTCAAAATAATAATTTGCGCATTTTCATGGTCAATGGAAATGCAGCTCTTCAAAGCTTCGTTCGTTTGGACAAGTGTAAAGTATTTACAATACTGTATATACTGTATAAATCATTCTTAGAGGCTCAATGGCTTTAGTGGCAGCTTGAAGCCAAGAGGTTACACAATAATTTGTAACAAGACTACTGGCAGCATGAAACATTAAACAATCTCTAATTAATCTCAATGTGTGCATGTTTGCTTTTGCTGAGCTTTTTTTAACATTCAAGGTTAGACATAACTTGACAAACCATGTTACAATATACTCAAAGTAATTGTGTAACTGTGTGTGCAAAAAAAGTGTTACAGCTTGGTAACTTAAATTTTAGAAATCCATATAAATAAAATAACTGAAGCATAAACATGCATGTACCTTATCGAACACATTAGCTTTTGTTCGTTCAAGACCAAAATGAGTTTTATTTGCAGAAAATTAATAAAAACAATTTTGACACAAATTGATCTTGGAATTGCAGTTTTCTCTCACTGTATTTATGAATACAGAAAAAAATGACATAAACAATTTAATAAACATGAACTTTAATACTTTAACCTCCTGCTCTACTTAAATACGTAATTTTATTGGGTAAGTTAGCTAGTTGGATTTTAATATTTTAGCACAGCATGTTACTACAACGTCTTGTGTTTCCTTAACCATTTCATGATCAAACTTCATCAATTTCAGTGTGGGGTACACTCATCTACTTTTAATATGTTATCAAAACTGTTCCATGCATACAAATTCATTAGAAGCCTCATTGCCCTTGTTACCACATACATGAAACATACACATTAAATTATATGTATATAAATGCCATCATATTTAGTTATAATTAGAGTACTGAATAATGCAGTTCCGATAAATCCTTTTTTGACATCTTAGACTTCATAAACTCAACAACCCACACTTAGCCCTTAAAAATAAAACAATAAAGAATCTTTCTTCTTGAAAGAATGCAAACATTTGCTGCCTTTTGCTGTTGTGTGCTTATAATAAAAGAGGTCCCCGAGCAAAGGGTAAACACAAGTCCAATTTTGTTGTTCTCATAAGGACAACAAAGGGAGGGCCTGATCTGCAGAGCAACAAGTGGGTCTTGCCAAGAGCAAGTTCAAGAGTTAAATGACTATTAGATGAGAAAGCAGCTGTTCTTGGACAATAATTTAATATAATGTCTGTGTGTATGTCTCTGTAATCACTTTGCCAACAGATTCACAGGAGGAAGGCATCCTGTGACAGAAAATCGTTGGCTGCTCATGAATAACGATTCTGATTTTAGGTCCTGATTGTACTCGCCTGAGAACAGTTTGATCAATATTGTTCCTTTAGGAGTTTAAAATAACACGTTTAATTGTTTAATGTCCTTCATTACACAAGGTAATCATTTATCACTGATGGTCCAATGTGATTTAAGAGGTTGTGGGTTTTTTATTTTTATTTTTTACCAGACAATGATTCAAATCCTGTCTGTTTTTTGAATGATGTGCATTAAGGAACGTGTCTGCTTTTGTCTCTAAAGATGACTTTTTGTGACCCATTTTCCTTTAGTCCTACTAAAATGTCTGCGGCTTTGGTCAAAATAGTACTAACATAATGACAGCACCACAGCACTGTTTTCAATTTGGTCTTTTTTCAGACTGCATCATAGGAGAAGTTTGACCCCATTCTCCCCTTTTCTCTGAAAGTGTTTTAGAGAATGAAAGCTCATTTTAGCACACACACTGCACTCAAAGTGATGGCACAGCATATATATATATA